TTTTTTTCAAAAGATTACACAGAATGAGACCCTTTTCTCATATGCTTCTTCCAGTGCAAGTTATTATTCCCTTGCCCATATATTGCACATACACACAAAAAATAAACTTCTCAGAGCAAGACTTTCTCTAAATGTACAAAGTGGCTGCCATAATAGGGTAGAGCTCTTCCCCCTTGCCTCTGCTCATCTATGTAACAGGCATATTTATACTGCAAAACGAGGGGAAAAGGGAGACCCCCATCACATCACAAAAAATCCATCTCATAACCTGGTTATCAGAAATGCTAAGAATATCTAGAAAAGGGCCACAGGAAATTTGGGAGGAGAGATGCTGTAGGTTTGCCACATGTTACAAGTGCTTCCTAAGCTACCTCCTATCTATCTATCGAACATGCAAAGCAATAATGAGATCTTGAAAGGTCAGTGTGCAACTTTCTCCCAGTAGGCGCTTGTCAGATGAGCAATGCTTGACAAACCCACATTAACTGCCAAACAGCAAGCAGCATTTCATAGTCATTCTCAACATTTCCATAAAACAGCTGTGGTTTTGTCTAGATGAAAAGCATTAATCCACAGGGGGTTCAGAGAGCAGAGGCTTGTTTCTCCACTATATGAATGCAAACCTCCTAGTGTTTTCAGTTTGAACTCACTGAGGAAAGGGATATTATAAAATCTAGCAGCAGCTAGTAATGTATCAGCAATGATATTTAGACCTACTTGAAACCCAGCTGAGATATCCCAAGACAAAGTTGCTGTATTATACAGGCAACAGTCTCACCAGATCAGCAAATCATCTAATTTAAACCTGCTGACAAGCTTACGGGATCAGCAGCAACGCTAGGACTGTACCAACTGATTGTGCTATTGGAGTGAATCATGTAATTGCTTTCTTCCTCAGTTTCCTTATTTGCAGAGCAGAAGGAAATACAATACCTATCTCTCAGATACAAAATGGGGACAAACTCTGTATTTGGAGGGCATGCTCGTGATCCTCAAGTCAAAGAAGTGCTGAGTATGAATCAGCAAGCCTTTAAGGTCTCCATGAAGAGCTTAAAAGGCATAAAAAGGGGAAGGTCTCAATGAAGATTGTGTTGAAAACCAGGAAAACAGGTTGGAGTACTGCTTCTGAAGGTTTAGCAAAGTGTTAAGGTGCAGAACCTGCCAACTTCCCTTAAGACAGATGAGACTCAGCCAGAGCTGGGAGTTGACCCCAGAATCCCATTTATTACACCAATGCTTTAGTCACATGAGCCTCAGCACCCACTGGCAGGAAGACCCAGACTGAGGGTTTCTGCACTGTGGGGGTGGATCTCTTCTCTGATGTCCCTGTCTCCCAAAGCTGAAGGGTTCAGCTCCGACTAGCAGGGACAGCACTTTTGAGGACTGAAATTATTATTCAAGTTCAGCATTCCCACTTCCAAGCCTCCTCCTCCAGAGCCATGCTGCCCTGCTTGCAGTTTGGGATCTTTACAAGCAATACCAGAATTCCAGCCTGGGCTGGATGCTCTGATATCCGTTATAAGACAGAAAAAGCACAAATCACACAAACAGGGAGGGACAGGAAGACTGTAAGGATCTGAGTTATACACAAGACAAATGCATTACAGGCTACTTTTCTCCCTTTTGGTTAGAGGTTAAAGGTATAGAAAGAGAAGATTTCCTAGTTGAGTTAGAACATCACTAGATCTCCTGAATTGCAATTTCAGTGTCAGGCACTGTTCTGTTGCAGAAAGACTTCATGTTAAAAATTTTAATTCTCTGTCACATCAGGCTTTCTGATTTATCCAGCTGAAGAGAATGACATTTGAGGACTCAGTCATTTACAAAGCTCCTTCAGCTGTCCTGTTACTTCTACATGATAGTGAAAAACACTTTCTCGGAAACATCCCGCCCATGCACATCCTGCATTCTGGGCAGCCCAAGTGTAACTCTGCCTGACCCTTGTTAAACAGGATCCTTCAACACCAGTATCACTTTATTTTCATGATGCTGGTTAAAACTGCAGTCCAGGGCTTTAAAATGTGCCCACCAGAAGAGAAAGGATGCTTTGTATGTGACATGGGGTCATGCTAGACATGTCTCATGACAGCCTTTTCCTGACTCTGGAACTACCACCAGAGTGGTTCAGAATTCATCAACTCAAGGAGAAATTTCAAGAACAACATTTTGTACTCCAGCTTAAAGCTCAAGCTATCCAACTGGAGAATGATATGTAACAGCAGGATATATATGGCCAACAGTCACTAGTACTCTGAGATGACATAAATTTGTATCTATTACAAGATAAGAATACATTATTCTTTTAGAGTTTAGTGTGAAGGAATGCATTTTTCCTACCTCTCCACTCCTCCAAATCTGTGCAGTTGCATCAGAAACAAAAGGTAAGTCAAACTTTGGAAGGAGATCAAAAACACTGAACAAAAGCCCTCAGCTCAGTGTTTTTCCTGCAATGCAAAACCTGAGAAGGACCAAATACAAAAGGTTGCCCTTTGAAACAAGACTGGGATAAAGGTTAGTGCAGCAAGGGGTGGCAAAGAAACACTAGTGCTATGGGAGAACAAACCTTATAAAGAGGTTCCTGAATGGGTTATGATAACATAGAACCTACACCACTCACAACACAGAAACCAACATGTAGTGGAAATGCGATTCTGGTCAGCAAATGAGTGAATGAATTTTCACTTTCAAAGGGGAAATATGCTCAAGTGTAAACTATGGACAAGAAAATCCCCTTTCTCCTCTGCCTTTTCCATTCTCTTTCATCTTTCCTCTGGAGGTTAAGATCCTATGCAGAACAACAACTGCATTGGTCAGTACATTGACTGCTCAGCCAGAGTACAAACTGTTTAAAAGAGACATCTTTTGGAGGTGGCTGCATTATCAGTTCTCCAGATTCGAATAAACATGGATATGAGCATACAGTTCAGTTACCCTAGCATCCCTTAAAGCACGTCCTGTATTTTATAGGAAAATACCTAGTTTTGAATGCTGGACCTGTATAGTAAACTGAATGTTCTGATCTCTGGCACAAAGACTTTACTGAAATATAGAAAGGAATGATAGGAAGAAAGACTCCTAAGACCTGGTGTTCCATAAATGGAGTGTTTCCTACAGGATTCTTCCCTTCTTTGGTTATCTGTGGCCTTGGAGTATTTATTTATCTGACATTTCTTGAAAAAACTGATTGCGGCAGCAACTTCAGAGCATAACTCCTCCAAATTCCTCCCCCAGTGTGTAATAGAACCTGCTATAACAGGAAAAAAACCTCTACAAACAAAATCACATAAGATTTCCTATAGAAAGTTCTACTAGAAATGAAGGATTTTTTTCTGGCAGGACAATTGCTGCTGCTCCATAGCTACATTTCAACAAAGGAATAGGAACCACTGAGAGAAAAAAAATCAAATTATGTAGTGCTCTAACAAGATGCAGAGAGTAAAACCAGTTTGGGACAGATATACCTAGAACAGGAGCTTTCCCTGTCCTTTTTCTCTGCAACTCTAACACCCCAACCCCCTCCCCCAACACAGTTAACACACAGAGGTGAGCAAACAGCCCACTGGGAAGTGCACCATGTAGGCTGCCCTCTCCTACCACTGGCTGGTGCAGTTTCATTCCCTTCCTCAACCTGGTTCAATGGCACTGTTGTACTCACAGTAACTAAGGGTCGTCACAGTGGGAAAAGTATGGAGTGGGAGTTTTATAAGGACTCATTCTTGATTCAATACTAGTCAGCATCTTAACTGATTTAGGAGTATACAAATCAAAAGCAGGGAAGGGGTGTGGGCAGATTGCAAAGGCTTTGGAGGATAAAAAAGTCCTTCAGGATTATTAAAAGATGTATTATTAAAGAAAATCAACCCCCCTGGAATATTAACTTGGGTACAATGTATTAAAATCTAAAACTAAGGGGAAAAAAACCCCATTGTAAATCTGTGGCTGAACTATTAAGGCAATCACCTACAACAGAAAAGAACAAAGTTACTAGTTGCAAATCTTGTATTAGTTCACTCTGCTACAATTCCAATGTTCCTCTGCACAACCTACAGAACACAGAATTCTACTGTCAAATTCTTATAAATGAAATAGTTGAAACTTGGCTTCTTCCGTACTAAAATTGCAGCAGTGAGTAAAAAGAGAAGGAAATGGGTGGGAAATAGTGCCAGAATAGAAGCAAGCGCACAAAAAAAAAAATTCAGTATGGGACAGACTTGGAATCCACCTTGATCAAGATGTTCAAGGCCACCTTAACAGGCACCTCAAATTCTCCATGTCCCTTAGGGAGGTAACCATTCATTAAACAGTAATATAGGTGAAGTGATACCACATGGCTACTGAACAAGTTCACATTTTCCAACTCTGTTTAACTAAAAATCAAGGTCCCCTGAACAAAAATGTCTATTTATGTGATACTGAATATTTTGGGTTAGCAAAATATCTTACAAACTTCGAAGTTTCCATTCCTTTGCTCTCTCATGACTAAACTGTAAATTATATTGATGCTTTCTTTAGCATCTAGATTTGCAGATGTACCTGCTGTACTTCAGAAATCCTTAGCATGTATGGCCCAAGTAGCTTTTCAAGATTTTAAAAACACTTATAGTTGTAAACCTAACACTGTTTTAATAGGTAAGGTTCACTCTTTTCAAATATGTGATATCTGACACAAGATTTCATGTATTTTTAATAATGTTTCAAAACTTTATTGAGTTCACTCAACATCTAGGAAGATTCATGTGGAATGTAAAAAAAAAAGATTAGTTCCTTTTTTATTTTAACCTCCAACAGAAGTATAGTAAATTTCCTGGTGTCTATTACAGCATTCTCATTCATTTTCATGCAGACAATTTTTGGTACAAAAAGGACTCAGACCAAAAGCTGAGTAACTTTATGAAATCACTGAGGTAAGAAACATCTCTTTCTAACAGTGTTTTATCCTTCTGCTAGACAAGGCATTAAATGTTTTGGTCTTTTCTACAATGGAAAAAAGAAGACAGGTGTTTTGTCCATAGTTTTATTTCACCAGGAAGGTTGATACAGTTCTGCATAAAGGTCATTGTATGCACAGTCTGAAGTACAAAGCTCCCTTTGAAAACTCCAGCACAAAGACACTGCATATTGACAACATTAAACAACAATGTGGGTGGTATAGGGAAAAAAAATTAAAACAAACCAGCATTCTTCCTATTGGAAAAGCAGAATAAAACAAGGCACTTTCAGTAAATAAGCGAACAGAAACAAGCTGTATCAAAGACTCCACAGAACTGACCGAGAGCACTGTAACAAAATTCTGCAGTAATGAACAAGTAAAATACAAAAAGGCACTACATAATCCTCTCCCTGCAACTCCTTTCTCAACCAATTAGCCAACTGAACTTGGCACAATGGAGTCTTAATTATAAAGTGCATCTCCTGTCTTAATACATTTTGAAAAATAGGCTATACAACATAGGTACCAACATCCCCATGTGTAAAATATGTTGAAACAGAAATACATTGCAACTAGATTCAATCTAGTTATGAACTGTGCAGGAAAAAAATATGGCTTCTTTACAAGTCTTTCAATAACCTCCATATAATCTTGAATATTTTTAAACAAACATAAATGCATAAGCAATGTGGTAAGAGGTAGTGTTCTGAGTAAAAGGCAAACTTACCGATTTTATTGTTACATGGGTATATAGCAAAGGTATCCCAGATTTTCAAACCAGCATTACTGAACAAAAAGTATTACAGCATGCTATTTTGGGATGAAAATACACAGTGTTTTGGGGGTCTCATATTAATTCCTTCAGCAAAAATGACCAGTTTTAAAATGTCCAACTATAATCCCATTTCATAAGTACTCCTCTCTTGGTACTGGAAGTTTTCCTACTGCATTGCATTAAAATTTCCAGGGAAACATTCTTCAACTTCAGAATTTAAAACCAACACATTCTCATACATAGATGAGTCTGTTTTTACTTCAACAAGCATTAATTTATAGCTATAAGAATATGAAAACACAAATACCAAACAGATGAACACATCAAACGTGTCACAACAGTGGCAACATATGACATGGGAGTTAGATGTGTTCAGTGATTTAGTGTGGAACTTGTCATTCCGCTAGGAAAGTGAGCCAAATTGTGTATGTACACTATCTAAACTTCACCTGATTTTAGCCCTTATTAGACTTCAATATATTAAATATAGAAAGGCTAGATAAAAACTGAAATCAAAGCAGCACTGGGTATATTTCTTACATTAATAATTTGTAAGGATTTATGTAAACATTCAGTTGTGCATTCTTGCTTTTTGCTGTAAATTCTTCACAGCTACTCTATGCTCCTACCCACAGATACATCCCAAACATGAACCTGTAACAGCAGCTGCTGCTCATCTATTCTTCATCTGGAGTATATGCTACTTCAGCAACCTCAATCTCTGGGACAGGATTTCCAGCCAAAGAGCCACTCCAGCATGGCTCATGGTTCTCTTTGTCTGAGCTGCAATGACAGATCAATAAGCTTTGTCAAATGGGAACTAGTATGATTCTCCGTAGTCATTTTATGCAGACAATCCACAAAACATTTACAACGCTTTTTCAATTTATCATATTCCAGATCTAAAATTATCTATCTTGAGGGCCTTTATGCAGCAGAGGTGTGCAATAAAATGCTGAATTCCTCAGCTGTGCAGAATTTATGCAAGACCAAACATTTTTAAAAATGTACTTTAAGAATAACTAAAATATAAGTAAAATAATAGTATTTACCAGCTGTCCTCACCCAGGGTACCCTGGTCTGCTTCTACTGCAGAAGACTCCACCTCACCACTGCACTCACTTTCTTCTCCTGACATTTGACGAGTCATTTTTCCTAAAGATAAATCCCTACAACAGATAAGAACAGAGTACCACCAATCCATAGAACAAACATTCATCACTGAAGAACTGTTTGTTTCATTTTAACCTTTGAAGTCTCTGGGAACCTCTAAATCTCACTCCTACATGCTCCATTTCTTTTATTAGTTCAAATAGGCAGGGTCTGCACTGGGTAGCTATTTAAACAGTTTATTTGCTCCAGCTGCTTATTCCTGAACTAAACTCAGTCCTCTGAATCTCTGGGCTACCAAGACAATTAGAGGGATGGAGCACCTCTCCTATGAGAAAAGGCTGAGAGAATTGGAATTGTTCAGCCTAGAAAAGGCTTCAGGGTGACCTAATTGCAGCCTTTCAGTATCTGAAGGGAGCCTACAAGATGAAGAGAGACTATTTACAAAAGCATGTAGTGACAGTACAAGGGGGAATGGTTTAAACTGAAAGAGAGTAGGTTTAGATTAGATATTAGGAAGACATTCTTTACTGTGAGGGTGGTGAGGCACTGGAACAGGTTGCCCAGAGAAGTGGTGGATGCCCATTCCTGGCAATGTTCAAGGCCAGGTTGGATGGGGCTCTGAGCAACCTGGTCTAGTGAAAGGTGTCCCTGTCCATGGCTGGGGAGTTAGAACAAGATGATCTTTAAGGTCCTTTCCAACCCAAGCCATTCTATGATTCTCTGGTTGCATCACAATTTCGTAGCTTTACAAAATTCAAGTCCCAGAGGAGTGTGTATGACTTTAGGTAAAAAATTACAAGCAGAAGATCTAAGCCACACACATCTTGCTTAAATGTCAGAAGGGGGTTATAACCAAAATGTACTCAGAAGGAAGACAGGCATGATGATAAAAAGATTTCTTCAATAGTTTTCCGAATTTCTCACTGTAACTTTACAAAGTCAGATATTACGTTTCAGAACAATATGTTTTCCCATTAATGATAAAAAGACGGGTAATAATTTTTCTTAACGGCAACACAAGATAACAGTCTGACTAGCCTGTATATAAATGGGAATAAAGTCACGTAAATTGACCAAGGAAATCCTTTCTTCCAAAGCATTGCTCTGTGTGGAAAACATATATCAATTTAGAACTGAAAGCTGTGACTTGAATTGGAAATAAAAGCTTGTGACCCATTTTGTGTTGAGAGTGATACTACTATATGTCATCCCCTTTTTAAATTACTCTACCTACTGTTTCTATTGTTTTATTTTAATGCGTGCATTTTAAGTAATACCTCAGCATTATTCTTCAACATTATTATTGGCTAAAGCCAGCAATATATAAAGGCCTACAAGTCTCATGTCTTGTCAGCTGTCGTCCCCTTCTACCTCACGCACATTTTAGGTACTTGGCCTTTAGAGTGTGTAGGCATAAGATGCTTTATTCTTGCTGGGCCATCAGATGGAAATTCCACTTCAACAAGGCCAAAGACAGACACATTTCACAGAATCACAGAATATTCTGAGTTGGAAGGGACCCACAAGGATCACTGAGTCTAAGTCTTAAATTAATGGCCCATATAAGGATCGAGCCCACAACCTTGGCATTATTAGCACCATGGTCCAACCAACTGAGCTGATCTCAGGGTCTTATTTCTTTTGGGTTCATTTCTCCATCAGACAGATAAGCTGAAGTTCTTTAACAAGATTGTGAGTTTTCTTGATAATTTTTAGAACTATAGATCACAGAAGTTATTTTCCATCAAGACTTCAGACACTACTTGGTTGATTTTCAATAACTTTATATGTCTGGGAAACTGGCAGGGTGTTTGTGTATTTAAAAAACATAATCTATCTATCTATCTTCAGGGAAAGCACTAAAAAATAAAATCCCTTTTTGCTATTCATGCCTTCTTATCTTTAGCCATACAGAATTTCTTATCATTATGTTTTAGCCAAATGCAAGTTATTTAATTTTTATTGACTATTTCTCTATTTAAGCCAGTAGCACATCATATCTCTCTCGTCAAACAGGAAAAGCATCTTTCAAATGTAATTACTTGCCTTCAGGAACAAGTGACAAACTGATTATGGTATTCTGATTAGAGTTTTCAGTAAGCCACAATTCCACTTAAATCTTTTCCCATTATAGTTCACTTGAAACTTACAAGATGTGATTTGTCAGTCAATCTGGATATGCCAGACTCAACAACCCAGGCAGTAGTAAAATAAAATTTATTTTGAAAATAATTTTTTTTCCAGTTCTGTCAGTGTCTCTGGTCATACACACAACACCCAGGGGATGTTTTTTCACCCGATCTCATTATTAGGAAGAAATTCTCTACTTTTAGGAAGAAATTATTTCCTCTGAGGGTAGTAAGGCACTAACTGAAAAAGGTTACCCAGAGCAGCTGTGGATGCTCCATCCCTGAAAGCATTCAAGGCCAGGTTGGATGGGGCTCTCAGCACCTTGGCCTAGTGGGTGGCATCTCTGCCCATGGCAGAGGGGTTAGAAGTAGATGATCTTTAAGGTACTTTTCAACCCAAATCATTCTGTGATTCTACAAAATTCTCATGGGACCATGGGAATTTACTCTTTTGCTAAAAAAATGCTGCAATGACTGACTCAGCAGCTCTAATGGGACACAGAATAGCACATCAACTCCCCTGCAACTGCTACAAAATTTAGCAGACAGGCATCATAAGACTCCACCATTTTTATCTTGGGTTTAAATGGACAATCTCCAGTGTTATTTAAGTATCTTCAGCATCATTTCTGGCAATTCAGAACAAAGATAAAGACATTATTAGAGACATATAATTGCCTGACCACTATGTTCTGTCAAAGCTTTGAGTACAGGCAGATTTTTATAACTCAAAGCAATATTTCCCCTTCTCTCATCTTTAGCAGGGCATTTCATGTTTCCAACAGTTCAAAAGCAAACTTAAAGGATTAGGAAACAATCAAAGTTACTTTAGAGGGAAAAGATGGGACAAGTTTCTCAGTGATTTGTACTAAATAACTTTTAGCCAGCATATGAGAAAGAGCTTATTGAAAATATTGCTTTGTGTGGTTATGTAGGGAAAATGTTTTCCAAGAATGTATCTAAAGCTGGTACTTGTGACTAGATAAAGTATTTTTACGGAGATAAACTCCTAAACCCCATAAAATTTCTACATACCTAATTCTTCTTTCAACAGCATCTATATGAAGTTGCTTTTCACTCAGCAATTTCTTCAGAGATTCAACTTCCCTTTGTTTTTCAAGCAGTTCTTTTTGTAGGCGGTAATTTGTTTCCTCTAGAGTTTCACAGAAAGCCTAAAAGACAAATTTAAGAGCATCTTCAATTTAACTTCAGTGTACTGCCTTTATTGATTTTTCTTTTAGAAATACCAACCTGTAATAGAATTGTAGCTGCTTTTCTTCAGGCTGATTACATAAAAAGCTATGTAAATTTTTAAAAAAGTTCTGTCCTTAATAAAATAATGCTGCTTTGTTTTGAATAGTGAATTTATTAGTTGCAATGCAAATACTTTATCACATCATTTGTTTGTCTCACAAAACTCTAAAGAGAAACTTTAGAAAAGTAGTGCCTGATTTTGAACCCTCTTGCCTACACAGAACATAAGCTGAACTCCTTGCTCCCTTTTCTCCTCATAAAGCTTTGCTTCCACATGACTTGGAAATCAATTTAAAACTATCTAATTATTTCCACAATGCAAAGAATATTTGGATTGAGTACATATTCGTTACCCAAGATAAAGATAAAGCTGTACAGTTCTGTACCAAACACCTGTTACAACTATGGAACCATGACAGTCAGAAGACCAATACAAAAACATTTTGAACAAGTTTAATGGAATGCTGTGAACACCAACTACTCAGCCATGACAAGTATGCCATGCTCCTCTGATGAGCATGACATGTATTTATAGTACACTCTGATGGATTTGACAATGAGCAATCTCAAAACTTAATGTGATGAGCCAGTGTCTCATGCAACATCCACTGAATGCAGGAAGTGACAGAAGCCTTGGCACAGAGCCTGCTCATCTATTACTGGAAAGCACAAGTCTCGCAGCAGTACCATGCAATTCTAATTTAATAATTTACATCTTCTCAATAAGTAAGAATCCCATGTGGGCTTTCTTGGGTTAATGTTACCAGCAACTAACCACTAGTTCAGAGTCCGACAACTGTAAACGTTTTATACGAGCTCAGTAAAGAACAATGCTGTTAAGACACTGTTTCCCTAAAGTTTTAAAACAGGCTACAAATATCAAGAAGATACTATCCTTGGCTTTAATTGAAGCAGATTCATCACCCTTAAAATTTTAAGTTTTCCTGTAATTATACAATTCAAACAAATGCAGAATTTTTCAATCCAATAACCATATTTTTTCATTGAATTTTAATTTATTTTATTGACTCAGATAAGAAATTTATCTTTTTTGACAGACACTGAAGACCAGTCATCAGTTAAAGCATAGTTTTATTCATGTCTACTAGAGCCAAGAACATGTGGCATGCAATTCACTCTTCACACAGCATTTGTAGTGATTGCTTCAGCTATCACTCCAGTTAAGCAGTCATCCTGTTTCATCCAAGCCAATCAAGTAAATTTTACTGTATTTTATAAAAATATTTGGTGTTGCTGGCCCCTAGCTCAAAACTGGGCATTATTTAGGAATGAAGTTATATTATTTCTACTTTCATATTTACGTGCATAGAAATTTCCCTATTCACAAAATAGCTAAAAATACTGCATAAGTGTTGTAGACTGTTTCATTGCTCTGTATGAGAACTGACAAAGCCTTTTGGAAAAACTCATCTCTACTGCAATCTGGATATCAGCTGCCCAAGGAAGGGAAGTCACTGTTATCAATGAGTAAGAAAACATTAACATATTCTGAAGGAGGCTGTAATAGCAGAAAGGTGAACTAAAGCTGAGAAAGAGAATGGTGTGTAATGAGATATCTTGCTCTTTTAATAGCTGGAAACCTGGAGTCTGGGACAGTTCTAACACCCAGGTTGGACCAATTTTCCCTGTAGCTCTGAAAGGGCAACGGAACTAAGCCAACTGGAAGACAGCTTTGCTTCCTTCTTCAGTGGATCATGAAACACAGATGGCTGGGAAAGGATCTGTGCAAACAGCTACCAAGGATATGACCAAAAAGATTGCTTTAGTGAATATTTTGTCTACTTTTCTGTGATTAAATTTCTGTAAGGTCTAGTTAGCTTCTAATGGAAGATGTACCTGTATCCCTCCCCCTAAAAACATAAATATGTTTTGGCAAGTCCTTATGGAACTGGATTAATAGAACAGACATAAACCAAATAGAAGATATCCATATTTCCATTATCAGGAAAACAGTAACAGAAGATTTTTTTCCTGGCAATGCTTTGTATGAAAATAGTAAGGCAAAACAGACATAATTTTTGAGCTACCTTTAAAAATGAACTCCAAGAATAAGTATGTGAACCTTAGTGCTTTTCCTGTAGTTAGGCAGTTCAGGAAAAGCAAAGCAACCTGCAAGGGATGGATATAAAATACTTTTGGTATTTGGTAGGAGTTCAGGCTCCTAACAGCCACAAGCCAAAAGCATGACCATGACCATGGATTTTAGGTTGAACAGACTTCAATCTCTTCAGAAACCGGCTTGGAAGAAAGCATCCATGGGAAACTACCTTGGAGAGAAGAACAGTCCAGGAGAGCTGGTTGATATTTAAGGATCACCACCTTCTGGGTCAGTAGGTAGAGCTCAACAAGTATGAAATCAAGCAAAGGTTGCAGGAGGCCTGTATGGATGAGCAAGGAACTCCTAACTGAACTGACACATAAAAAGCAAGTGTACTAGGGGTGGAAGCATGGAGAGGTGACCCAGGAAGAATATAAGGCTGCTGTCTGATCTTACAGTGAAGGACAACCTGGGCTGAATCTAGCAAAGAAAACAAGAAAGGATTCAACATAACAAAAGGAAGACTAGGGAAACCATGGACCTGTTGTCTTGACTGGCAAAGACCAACCTTCAGTAATTCCAGACCTCTGCAGCCAGAGTAGAAGACAAGGAAGGGCATGACAAATTTACCCTCAGTGGAGAAGGACCAGGTCAGGGAGCACTTAAACAGCTTGTACATGCATGTAAGTCCATGGGGCCTGACAGATGCACCTGTGGGTGCTAAGGGAGCTGGCCTGTTGTCCACCAGAACCCCAGGTCTCATGATTCAAATATCATAATAAAAGATAATTAATGGACTTGAGCATCTTTCATGTGATAAAAGGAAGAGAAAGCTGAGAGACTTTAGTCTAGAGAAGAGAAGGCTTGGAGTGATCTTATCCATGGGTATAAATACCTGATGAGAGGGACTGAAGAAGAGGGAGACAGATACTTTTCAGTGGTGCTCACTGACAGGAAAAGAGACAATGAGCAGAAATTAAACCCCAAGAAATTCAATATGAACACCTGAAAACACTTTTTTACTGTGATGGTGATCCAAAACTGGAACAGGTTGCACAGAGAGGTTGTGAAGTCTCCTCTGTAGAATACTGAAAACCTGACTGGACATGGTCCTGGGCAACCTGCAGTAGCTGACCTTACTTGAGCAGGAGGGTTGGACTAGACAATCTCAAGAGGTCACTTCCAACCTCAATCACTCCGTAATAAGGTGGAGTGTACCTTGGAGAGCAGAATTTTAAGAGTTGTCTCTAACAACTTAACAGAATACAGCTTTATTTTAATGGTTTAATTAAATTTCTGTGGTGGGAAAATAACACTGAGACTTCACCACAGTAGGCATTATCGAAATTTCAGTGAAGGTGGCACTTAGATTTTTCAATTATGTGAACAAGTGATTATGGTAATTTTTAAAAATTTTCATCAGCTTAAATAGCAACAAACAGAAATCAAATACGAGCTTGTAAAAAAAAACCATGCACATAGTAATCTAGCAAGAGCCAAGGCACTCCTACTTACATGCAAAACAAACTGGTAAATATAAATTCAGTTGAAAGAGCATCAGTTAACATTCACAATTTCTACAAGACCAACAATGTATGTACAATTCTAAAACACAGTTATTCTATAAAGCAAGAAAACTAACATCATCTATTCTAAGCAGACTCAATACAGCTCTGCATGCCAATGAAATTTACTTCTAATAGAATAGGCAGCAGCACACAGTATTATTTGTTCAGCGTGTTCATATGCATGTTGCAAGGTTGCTGTTTTACTACACTACTTGTCACTAATTAATTTTCTGCAAGAACACTATTTTTGGTGGTCAGAATTAATCTTTTCATTACATTCATTACATGGGAAGGTGTCCCTTCCCACGACAGGTGTGTTGAAACTAGATGATCTTTAATTCCTTCCAACCCAAACTATTCTATGATTTTATAGCAAGAAACATTCCACTGCAAGACCTGAAGTCCAAGGCATAAGCATTACAACAATGTGCTGAATGTAAACTTATAAAATCTCTCCTTATATTCAGTAGTTCCCTTATATAAGCAGTTGCAGTTGCCTTAAAAAACAAACTCCATCCATGGCTCATAAAAGACAAAAAGGAAGATGATATATTTTGGGACAGGGATGAGGTACAGCAAAGATGATCAGCGTGCACCAATCATCAGACTGGATCCGTTTTATAAAGACACCCTTTTGTGATTTTTGTGAAAGAACAGAAACAGAAGTGTTTCATTCCACACCATGCAACAGATCTTACAGTATTCTAACAACAACTGCCTTTTGCGTTCTGATTTTATCCTATTACTTAGCACTTACCCTGCTCTCTTCTAGACTGTCAAAAGGACCCGGAGGATCATCCAGACAAAGAAATTCTCTCACTGCAAGGCTTTACCAAATAAAAGAGAGTGAATTACTGAAGTACAAAACCAACAACAAATATGATCATACAATGGAAGTATTTCTTTAAGGGACACAAACACCTAGCCTCAAATTTTACCCCCAAGTATGCAAAATAATGTTAACAAAGTATTAAGCCTCAGTTGTATGTGTTCACCAGGAAGAGCATTTAAAATGTAACTTATGAAGATGAGTAAGCAACTTTAGAACATGATTTTTCATGTTCTTTTTTTTTTTTAAATTTTAATACAATTTGTTGCTACATGACAACTGACAAGTTTATCACTTTGGTATTGAAGCTGTATGAAAAATTCCCCTGGTGAAAAATAAATATTATAAGATGGATGAAAAAGTTTGCTGTTAATATCCATATGCAGATCCCTTCAGGTAGTATCAGGGGAACTAAACATCAGTACTGAATCATGTCCACCTGTATCCATTTTGCTAAGATCATAATCCATTGACATATACACAGTATATAACTTTTATATATACAGTACATATTTTTATACATACAGGAAATAATTTTTATATCAAGAATAAGTTATAAAATAATAAGAGACAAAGTTAATGTGCCATGGATATACTATACAGCCATCTCTAAACATACATTTTAAACTAATGCATTCCTCTTAGAATTGTGTAACAGCTGTCATTCCCCTCTGTGAATTGCTTTGCAAAAGTCAGAAGAAAGAAGTATGTGTAATCCTGTGGTTTACTACAGAGTATTTCAAGCATCTTGCTCATTCTACCTTCCAAGTTTAGATTACTTCTCAGAGAACTCAAACATCTCCAAACACGTCCCTTCAGCTACCTTTTTTAAGGTTTTCCTGCTTGGTTATATTCATTCTTCTACAAATAACCTCCAATCAGAACACTGTATTCACAATTAATTAGCAAGCAGTAACATGAGCAATGCTGTGCTTGCACTCACTACTTTAAATCATCTCCTACTGCAATGAATACACAAAAATGGAAGATGTGAATCTAAATTTAATTTCCTGTCTCCTCCTCCCACCTCCTGAGTGGAAGGTAGAAAAGGGAGTAATTTTCTGCCTTCCACTCATTCTCTGCATTTGAGGTAGACATGAAGTACAAACACAAGAAAGGAAACTTTCACCCATCTACCAATCTAATCAAACAGCTTCAGGTGTGGCAAGCAAAATGAGGAGAAATTTCTTCAAACACTAATCATTGATTATAGCATCACTTTTAGTTCTAAAAAGGCTCCTAAGAATATTTATCTAAAGTACACTGAATGCTTATTTTGTTGTTCGATTTTTCTAAGTCTGCTTTCACACGCTTATTGTATATGTGTAGATACAGGTGGCCAAAGGTTGGCGAGAAATCTTGTCTTTGTATCTACTTTTACCTTATCAGCCTTTACACCAAACTGATATTTTTTTTTCTATAATCATTCCTCTCCCTACTTAATTTATGTGACAAATGTTTTACAATTATCCGTCCATGATCTCTGCAAGCCATAAGCCTAAACCTGTACTATTAAAAGAGCTTCTCTCATGTACTCAAATAAATAATGAAAAATTCTGCCACCTAAACCAAGATTATCACTCCAATTAGCACAAAAAATGATAGCTGGCAACAATTCATCAGGGAAATGATCAGAAAACATAACTTGAAACAAAATGAAAGTTATTCAGGCATATAAAGTACATTTCAGGAAGAGCAGGGTTGGTTTTTTTCCCCCCCCCTCTCCAAATAGTTTAATATGTTTGAGATGACCCTTTTCTGACAGGATGCTCAAGTCCATTTTTTTAATGAAAAGAACAATTCAACCATTAAGATGCTGAAGTAACTCATATTTGCCCAATACAGAAGAACTCATTATGTGGAAAAACTTCTGCTCACCATTTTTCTTCGGCATCTTAATCCTTATTCACATATGCAGCTCAAACATATTTTAAATGTATTCAGTTTTTTTCTTGTGTTATTAAAGGGTAACATTAACATGGCATATGTTAATGCTTGTGAGTGAAAATCAAAATATCTAGAAAAAGAAATGTAAAAAATATCTAATCTACATATATCATCTACTTACACCAGGTCAAACTTTTTTGCTTTCCCTGTGGCTGCTGGCAGAAAACGGTGTCTTCTTCCACAGTTTTCAAAACTACTTGAAATTGAAAGCTGTAGATTCATTATTTTACATAAGGAGGTCAAGAAACCTAAAGCCACAGGTCAACAAAAACATTGTTTCTTTACCTAAAATATGCACCTGATGGCATAAACATTTATCTGCAGCCTAGCTTTACTCAGTCTGCTCTGACCCTGCTTCCCACTCCATGTGTTACACCTTTTCCTTTCATTTAACAAATAGAAGATCCTGCCTTAAAAGTATCACAGAAACCTTTTGTATCACATGTGGCAGAGTTTCCTGTACAGGGCTTATTTCTTCGCTTGTGTGCTGGCCGACATCCCTCTCCAGGGAGGCAGCAATGCCAACATTAGGGGCAGTGTGGCACATTGGGTCCCTGACTCAAAGCTGACCAAGGCTCTTGCACAGGGCGGAGGCAGGAGAGCTGTATCATCTCTATAAAGTCAGATGACGCTTCTGTTTAGCAGGTTAAACTTCTTTCTCCCACTTCATGAGTTATATGAAACTTTCCTGAACACATTAAACTCTAGGAGAATTTCAGTTTGATCTTTCACTGAAACTTCAATACAATGCAAAATACAAGAAGAAATCCACAAAAGGGGTGCTAAATTTAGTCCCCTTCACACCATCCTCCTACATCTTATCTTTAAATTCCTTTGTGAATCTAGTTTTATTAAAAAATAGGTATAACCAAATGAGGTCTCCTACCCCTGAAGGGCAAAATTCCCACTGTCAATGTCTCAATGATGATAATGCAAATAAAGCACAAAGAGAAATAAAGAGACTTCTCTACAAAGAGAAAAGGCTCATTTGGTTTTGGTGTGACCCAAGCACTTTGACTTATTTGCAAAACTGTAAAAGTAAATGGTGACCTTTGTAATGGGAAAGCATGGGCAGATGCTCATCAGTGCTCATGTGAGGTGCAAATATTAATTTCCATTAATAGTAACTTTTATTCTGTGATAAGTGGATAAAAATATTAAGGTGGATCAAACCTCACTAGTTATAACCAGTTCCTGAGGAATTCAGACCTTCCACCAGTTATATTAGAATATAACCTGTACCAATAGGTTATAAAGTTTCTCAAAAAACTATCTTTATGCTGAGTGTTACACAGCAAGACCATAATTCTGAAAATCACATTTCAGGTAACTATCTGTTCATTAGCCAAAATACAAAGTGATTCCAGAAACATTTTATTTCCTTTTTGTATCAGAGGAGCAATGCAGTCCAAAAGTTATGGTTTGGGTTTTTGCCTTAAATCGTGACACAGTATTTTATCCAAAATGTTCCATTATTAAGATATATACAAGCTAGCTGAAATACCAAACTAGCTGCAACAACATGAAGCACAAAGCCTTCAGATCCTATTAAGTAGACTAAAAGTCCATTCTGCCCACTAGTCTGTTTCCAGCAGCATAACAGAAGTGACATTTAGGGAATATTAGAGAATAATTCCTTTTTTTTTGGCACACCTATAATTGTGTAATTTAACAATAAGGAAGTTCTTAAACTTCCTGGCTGCATACTTCACCCACATAATTATATTTAATAGCCACTGAAACAGAAACTCACAGGTTGATCTCAATTTCTTTTTGAAACCATTTAAGATGTGTCTTTGACATCTCATAACAAAGCTTCACCACTCAGTGTGACATATTGCAAGATGACTATGAATCATCCAAATATTAACATTCTTTACTCACCTTCCCTATCCCCTTTGATGATTTCATATGCCTTGTTTAGCCAGCTCTTACCCAAGACAACAGACTAATGAGAAAAGAACTCCTCTTGCAGGGAAATTTTTCTGTAGCTTCATCTGTTGTTGTTTGCTTTCTCTGTACCTCTAGCAGGCACTTCTTTTGAAACTGAATGCTGTGTTTTACCACTGGACTACGTGGAAGTACAATTCAGATTCCCACAGCAATAACTTTTTTTCCCCTTTAAGTTCCTCTAACAATTTTAATGACACTTTTTGACTATTGCTGAATACTGAACTGATTCAGAAAACCAGTGATATCAGTACCAATAGTTATTTTCCAGGTTGTAAAAAACAGAGTTCACAAATCTGCATGGATGTACTTGCTGTCATTTTGTACTTCAAGACAAGAAAACTAGTATTAGTCACCCAGTGCCTCATGATCCTTCTACAATAGTTCGTGATCTCAGAAAATTTCAAGACATTCCTGAACATCGGTGTCCATAACTGTGATCTAGCTTTCCACATGTAATACCCCTAAATTTCCATCAATCCTTTTCCCCTTGTCTTTTAACCATTCTATATGAGCCTTGTTATAACTACTTGCTTGTTAGATTTCCCTCTACAAAAGACATTATTGCTTTTTCAAGTATTATTTTTATTCACCTCCTAAGCACTTTGGGGTTTTTTTTATTAAAATCAGTACCAAAAGTCAGACTTATTTATGAATCTCTAGTTTCCAGACACAGTAGTCAAACGCTTATAAAATGTGCCAAAAGCAGTAACAGCCCTTCTACTAAAAAGTAAAGCAGATACAAGCATTATATGGTCTTATACCCCAGCTTGGCAATTTTACATTTTAGTTCCTTTAAAATTCTTGAGGTAATGCTGTTTGCTTTAGCAAATTCCTTATTCTTTGTTTTGAATGAAGTTTTAGATGATGATACATCCTTAGACTCATTCCTCAAAGAACCTCTAGTACAGTAACCTCAACTTTTTTATTTCTGCTGCTGGAAAAAGTTTTTAGAACTAACTGCTCTGCCTCTAGCAATCTGCTTACTCAAATTTCATTCTGTTCTGTATTATAATGTTTTTACACTTCATTTGCCAGAATTATGCTCTATTCATCTTCCAGCTTTGGAAGAATCTCCCACTTTGTATGAAAGAAGATACTGTTCAAAGACACTTATGCACTTTGTTGATTAAACACATTATGTTTTTTAAACTGTTAGGAAATTTTTTATTTGTTGTTTCAATTTACTTACATATAGCAATCTATAGACATACTCCTATTACCATCGCGCATCACAAAAGTTAAAAACCTGCAGTTTAATACACATTTGAAAAACTGATTCCAAAACAGTGTAGGTACTTTCCACTATGAAAGCATAACTTTTAATCCTAGTATAAATTAACAATATATCAATGCCGCATTAAGCACAGAGAAGTAATGTTTTAGGAGTAATATGGGATTAGTCTAACATTTTAAATATTACAACTTTTAGTAGTTATCCATGTACAATTCAAAATACTGCAATTCTTCTCTTTTGTTTATGTTAAGATAGGATTAATTTGAAAGAACACTAAATAATTCACATAATGATGAAATGCACAAAATGAATGCTAATAAATCCCTTACCACATTGCTCAAAGACACACTGCTAGAGTCTAGGAGTTGATAAGAGCAGTTTGGAAAAAAAAAAAACACAAATGCAAAAGCAAAGTTTAATCACATACCAGTTAGCAATATCTTTATGAGCTACTAAGTTCTGGAGAAATGCTTGCAGCCCCAACTGTCGATCTTCCAAGAAGTCAGGATTATAATTATCCTTGAACCAGCGCTTTGGTGGAAGGGCCAAACGAAAGCCCGGAAACATATCTTTTAGCTGAAATTGAAATGAAACCCAATTTAAAAAAAAAAAAAATCAAGAAAAAAGTCTCATCAAAATACTCATTTTGACACAGGCACTGACTTCACTCAGAATTACGAGATCTTTCTGGCTTCTGCTAAGTTCAAGCACAAGGTAAGTCTCAACCATAAGTACAATCCAAATTACAGCATAAATTGCGGACACAGTTCTGTCACTTGCTGTGCTGCCTTATGCAATCCAATGACCTCTCAAATTTACCAGATAAAAATGGGAATGAAAACCTCTGCTTTGTTATTTAATGTCCAGTATCAGATGAGTAAGCATTTCAGTGGTGTTTCTTCTAAAGTACTCAGGGACAATAAGTACTATTTATCCATCTATCTATAAAAATCCATTACAGATCTACAACTCTGCAACTTGTCTTTTTTGGGGGGCTAGCAGAATAAATTACAACACATGCCTGACGATACTTCTAGTAAAGAGTAGCTCTTTGTACACCCAGAATATTAAAATTTCAATATGCAAGTATAGCTCAAACCCTAGTAGTAACATGTAAAATTGTACTGAGTAACTTAAGTAGCAATGGGGTATAGTCGACATTAGAAATATCTAGATTTTTTTTTAAATTCAGAAATGAAATATGCAAATGAATGGAAGCATAAAACTACATAACAATGAACCTATCCAAAGATGCCAATCATTTTTCTAATATGCTTAACTATCAACACTTCCATAAAAACCAGTTTTCTGAAGCCTTTTCTTAGAAGGGATGCTTGACACAGAAAAATCTTGGAAGAAGACTTACAACCAGCAGGAAAAACCAAACTAGTTTTACAAAATCTGATATCCCAACTGCCACAAGAATTGTTTAATCTTTTTTTCTGAATACAGGATCAAACCAACTTTTGTCAGAGATGTACTGCATACTGCATACCTAATATATTTACATGAATGTTGCAGTGCCAGGGATTTTAGAATCTGCCTTGAAAACAGTTTAGCACTCGGTGTTTACAAAGCTGCAGTATAATTTTTCAGTGGGTGTCCTGATCCTTGCTCAGCAAAATTTAACCCTTCTGACAATAAGTGTTATCTATTTAACTACTCTTTATGGACTTACAGAAAACGCTAACTGGTAGCTCTTTCAGGAGATTAAGTTTTTACAGATAGTGCATTTCAGATAGAATCTCTACACAGTTTCAAGGAAGAACCATGTTAATGGATCACCTTTATTCATATGAATATCAGTGTACCATTTCACAGCATGAGAAGGGTGCCATTTAAACATCACAAGTATTGTATATTGAAATATCCCACGATAAATACCAGTTTCTTATTTACAGATTACTTTATCGTCAAAGCCTTGTTCTTTATTTCTGCATTTAATTATTTAAGTGTATGTTTTCCTCTTACTGAAATTCATCTTGATATTAGACTTCTCTTGATATTTTTAAGTTTATCTTTGGTCATCCACCATTCCTTCATCTATTACCAAATAATCATAAATACCACATATATAAGTATCCTCTATGCTCCATAACAGCTCTTAAGCTGATAAAATACTGAATAGGACTGAACCCAGAGATTATAACAAAATGAGTTCCTGTGTTAGTTGTACAGAAGACCGCAGATAACCATTGCTGGGAAAGCTTTTCAACCACACAGATTTCTGCATAATGGTTAATTTCACTTGTCTGGTCACATAGATCATGTAATTTATTTCTAAGGAAAGAGTATGCCTACCCACAGACTACTCCTTTTGTGGATTAAGAGTATGAGAAAGCCAGCTGCTGTGAGCAGACTAATTTTCAACAGCACACTCCTGGGGCATTCTTTCTTGAACACTCCTCAGACACAGCAGGAGGGTCAGACAAGTTATTCTGGCCACGATTGCTTCCTTGTATCCAGCACCTTTTCTACATGTCTCTCTCCTACATCATCATGTGATATATTATGCACCTCACATGACGCAATCTTGGGGAAAAATGGTTAACTTTTTGGTTCTTAAGACTGGTCATTTCATTATCTGTTCAACATCTCTACCAACATAGTAACAAACTTTAGAAAGTTCTTTTCCCACAGTTCTTTGGGGTCAAAGTACTTCTCATACTTCTTCAACCCAGTAGGTGCTATAAACAAACAAAACCTAAGCATCTAGACAAATGTCTGCATTTTAGTCTTTGCTCCTAACCTCTCATTCTAGCATGTTCCAACACCCACTAAGATTAAATTTTTGTTAATATTACACCAAGAGACACTATTTCAGTCTTTGCTGTAACATTCACTGTTTGCTTTCCATAGTTTGCTCTCAAGTAATGGATCTCTTATTTTACTGCCTCTTTCCCTTACTTGTGTCTCTGATGATTTATAATACTTTTCCCGTTGCTCTTAGCATCCCATGTCGGTCCACCTTGCATCTCAGCACTTTTGCCTTAGTCTTCAGAAGTCTGTACTACTCTCCTTGTACTAACCTGTATTTGTATTTTTTTAATTACTTTTGACTTTGAGATCATCATGTGGCTTCTTGTGTACCCCCACTGGTAATATCTTATCTTTCCCTTACATTGGATTACTTTGCTGTCATCTTCTATTTATCTTCTTTCAGTAGTTATGGAGTTTTCATAACCTTTTCATTGCCTGGAAAGCAGATAGCTTTGACATTCAAGGAATTTGTTCCTCACTTGAAATTTGTTCAGGTCTTAACCTGTTGCTGCATTTACTGATTTCATTCATAAAAGGGCAGTTAATGGTTTTGAGCTCTTTTACTTCCATTCATTTCTATTTTATTAGCTGTTCCCTACTAAGAATATTTCAGAAAATAGTGGAAGTAAAAACACTTTCTAGGATCCTATGGCTATTTTGCCATCTTTATGTTCTTTAAGAGATCAGGACAAATAAGAATGCTATTACTAGATTGCAGTAACTTCTTTTATTAGTTAGCTGAGCTGTATTTGTTCATCTGCTCCTGGTTTTATCTACATGTGCCCCCATTGTGACACTGTTCCTACTCTCACATTTTCTCCATTTTTAGCCATTGTGGAAGTCCAACTCTCAGTTCAGTTTGGACTCATGAATAAGTATATGCCTGACATACACAAAAACCCTTACTGCTCTTTGCCTTTATCTGGTTTTCCTGAGAGGCCATTCCTGCTATGTTAATATCTCAAACTGATTCACATAGCAATCACAGTGATTGATTATTCAGTTCAATTGGCATTTAATGCCAAGTTCCTAGTACCATTTCAGGGAATTAATAACTTGTCACCAACCTTGAGAAGGGTGGTGAGGAAAAGGTCTTATGAGATAGTGCATTTCTTTTGCTTACACTGGATTTCTAGGAGAAGGGGTACAGAAAATCCTGAAAGTTTACATGCATGCAACTGCACGTCTATATTTGCCATTAGAGAACAAAGAATTGCAAGAGCTGCTCTGTGCCTTTTAATGACTGATGCTTGCATACAACCATTTACTCTTTGGTCTGTAAGACACTATGCTTTTTATAATACAGAAATACCAGCTCTGGGAACTGAAACATACCATCATTCTGGACATTCTAGGGAATTACAGAAAAGTAACATAATAAAACTTTAGATGTATACTGAAAGATGAAAAAGCTTCAGAAAGTGACTCAAGGATAAACAAATATTCTCCTTTTAAATAGAAATCCTCATACCTAGAAATCATGCTAGAGTCAAACATTTTTGTCAAAGATTTGATGGCAAAGACTGTGGGCTTCACTTGTAAAATCTGAATATTTATTCTAAAATTAATAGCTGTGGCATTTTTATTTTTCAAACCACTGATAACTACATTAAAATTCAATGCAGGCAAGCCAATTCTTGACCTATACTGGACATAGCTGAGCAAGATACAAACTGCTGTATGATGTGATTTCCAAAATTTGAGTTGAAATACCAAGATCATCATCTCAAGAGAAGTCAGGCTTTTGTGATTACCAAGAAATTCCTTCATCTAGGACTATCTTAAAAGACAGAAGTTTCTTCAAAAAGAAACCTGTAAACTAATTAACATTCAACAATTTTGTTTCAGACTGCACTGATGTTTTAAAGGCAGCCTAGAAGATATACAAACATGTCAAACCAAGAACACGGAGACATGTATAAGTTCAAGTCTGTGTTTAAAATTTCAGCTCAATTAAACTCTTAGTTGATTAGGTTTACCGTTGGTAAAAAAAAAGGGAGTGTTATAAAGGTTACAAATTGCAACATGAAAGAACATAATAGCAGAAAATATGTTAAATTAGCAATGAAAGATTATTCTTAGGAGTGAAGAGCGGGCAAAGAAAACTGTAATTCTGTTTTTCTATTTTCGGTAGCTAAGTACAATTTACCAATAATAAAAACTTGTGTTTTTCAGACAAGAATTTTTTGCTTTCAACTGTTCTAAAAACATTGAGTTGCAGACTGAGAATTCCTATTTATCTCCATCTTTAAAGTTCTGATATAGTATTTCACAATTAGCTTTGAAGACATTGAAAGCAACCGAAGACTGACCAACATACAAAGAACTTCATGAAACTTCAGGTTTATCATGAAAAAAGCAGAGTTTGTCACACAGAAATGGACTGAATAATTACTGGATCGCTCCTGCAAGAGAATACAAGTCTCTAGTTCTATGTCCATGTGGGGGATAAATATTGAAGAGTTAATTTCCTTTACCATATAAACTAGGAATAAATACAAAGTCTGAAGCACACTAAGCTTCAGATGAAGCTCTTACAACTTCTTTATATCAGCTGTAGTGATTTCAAGTATCTTTGAAAAAATAAGGAATCATGATTTTCCAGGCATTAATATAGTATGTGTTTTATAAGCAGTAAAAAAATCAAGAAAAGAAAAGAAGTGACAAAAACGTGAGAGATAAAGAAAATGAGACATGAAAGAACAGCGAGGCAAGACAGCTTAGAATTTACCAGTGTATAATTCCCACCTTGTCATTAAGCCTGGAGAAGTCAGTGTACCGTCTGAAAACCACCCAATTTTCCTCTGGACTTCTTTTTACCAGTATTTTGTATACCTGTGTAGAAAGACAGGAATATCACACTGCATTGTCTGAAAGGCTGAAATTATCTTTTATCTCTTAAAGAAACAAACTGATGGATAAAAAAAATTCCTAATTAGATTAAAAGAAACCCAAATAACCTAATTATCAGTACAAACAGTATAAATTAATTTCAGAATTTAAGGAAGGAGCTACTGTAATTCCTAAATACATTTAACTATTTCTGTGTATAAGAAAGGGTCTGTGAAACTGTACCCAAATTTATTCTCGAGCAAAACACAAGTCTCAGCTATCAAAGAGGTAAAGGAAGTATGTTTTAGTGATCTACTTTAACCTTTGCTAACTTATAGTTTTATTCATTGATCCTTGAGGCCAATCTGTTTTTAAGATGACTGTTAATGATAAGGTACTGTGATATTGGTTTCAAAGGTCTCATCTGACTTGCTTCACAAGGAAAAGTGAAGCAGAACAAAATTACATCCACATTTGTCTTGAAAATTAGCTTTTTGTCTTTCCAGGCAAAATATGACTTCATTCTTTTGAATCAGATTTAGCAAGACAATAGCACAGCAGTACCATACTCCTATTTAAAAGAAAACGGATGAAAACAATAATAAAAAAATCAATTACTTTTTAGGAGGACTAATACTCAAATGCCTGAACACAACGAATTTAACAACATAACTTCAATTAGAAAACATTAAACAGTGTCTAATGTCAAAACCTTACTTTCTCCAATGTAAGGAAAGAAAGGTTCTGCAATTGTACTGGGTTAGTGTTCCCAGCCTACATGTCTCTAGTTAAAAAGAAAATAAAATACAACACAGAAAAAGACATTAGAATAGTAACGATAAAAAATCCCTTACAGGCACTTAACCAAGCTCTATTTAAAACATTTTCTAATCTGTTACATAGTAAAATACTTTCCAGTATGTCACACTTTTACAGCAGGTTTTCTTAGCTGATAAATGTATTTTTCTTGTTGCAGTCCTAACATACGATAACCCTTGTGCTTGCCAACCTCTGTACATGTGTGAGACTGGTTTTAGCAATTTTGTATTCTATAATATATTAAGTAGCAGACAGTTACAGAAACTACAGATAACTAGGGTGCAAATTAAATGCAATTTTTCAGCAAGTACTTATCTATGTTTTAAACACAGAACTTCACTTCTAAGTCACATCATCTCTGGAAGTCACAGATTGTGACTGAGGAGAAGGCTATTAGCTTTTAAAATTCAAGCTGTATGACGTGCCTACAAAGACAGCATTAAAACGTAATTCATCTGTCTTGCATTTTATGTATAAAAGTTCGTCCAAGTATTTTAGCTTTCCTATCATACTAAAAGTATAAACAATTTTCATAAATAAAACAAATAAATAAAAAAATGTAAAATTGTGAAGACTCTTTGCTAGTACACAGTAAAACACAGAACAAGAAACTTTGGAATATTCTTGCGGAAGTACTTGCCAATCAGTATTCTATTACATTCTTTTATTCTACTAAAGGTTCAGCAAAGGCATTGCTTAAAAATGCACACATAAAAAAAATTCATTTAGTCTCAGCTTCACTTTAAATGGTTTCCAAGTAAACATTAGACAAGTTTGTTTTTTTTAAAGTCTTCACAAATTATGGTCAACTAAAGTGTGATAAGGAGTGCAATCAGCTTGTGATTAATGGTCTCCAAAAATATGTTTGGCTTTCCCCCACAAGCTGAAAATAAGATGGTTGGCTTTTTTATTTATTTATTTTAAAGATTACTAATTAATAAACAAGAACTGGAGTATTAAAAAACCCAACTCTCAATTCCTTCACATAAGATCTTGGAAAAAATTACAAATGAATTCAACAAATTCAACAAATTCCAGTCAATCATGAATTGCCTTATTCCACAAATACAAAATATTCAATGAAAATATGCCAATATTTAGTATCAATCTCTAGCCAATTCAGCATCTCATTATCATTTCTACTTGGCTCAAAAGAAAGAAAAACAGTGCTAATTGAACATTCCAGGACTGGTAATTCACTTGAGACCAACAGCTTACAAAGAGATGTTTTTCAGCCTAGGTTTTCGCTCACATAACCTTCAGCAGCCATGTACTCCAACATGCACTAACATCTAACTCTTGAAGTTAGGACATCATCCAGCTTAAGTAGTTCAGATACATATTTTTGGAAACTATGAGATGCTAACAACAGTAAAAAAAACAAATTCAGCAAATAAGTCCCCTCTGTTTTACAGGTGATCTCAATTTAACTTCCACTGTCTTCCATCTCACTTATTCAGCACTGCAAAAGCAATCCAAATTTCTAGGACTAATTACTTGCTGGCCTTAATGCAAAATAGCAAGCTTATTTTTAATATCCAACTGAAAACAAGCAGTTAATTATGTGCTTTCAGAAACAAACACAGTAGAAGTGAATTCAGGAAGAGCAAAAATGCATCCAAGCATTTTAACAATGGAAGAGTGTTTCACTTGTACCATTAACTGGCCTTCTACATAAAATAAGGAGTCAAAGTTGTCATCGTAACTACACTTGAAGGACACCTTACATGCACACTGGAATATGCCTTGGCATATTTTTGACATTTTCCTTCTTCAAGGAAGAGACGGAGGTGCTGGAGTGCATCCAGAGAAGGGCAATGGACTGGAGCACAAGTCCTGTAGGGACTGGCTGAGGGAGCTGGGAGTGTTTAACCTGGAGAAAAGGAGGCTCGGGAGACCTTATTGCTCTCCACAACTACCTGAAAGGAGGTGGTAGCCAGGTGGGATTTGGCCTCTTCTCCCTGACAACAAGTGACAAGATGAGAGAACACAGCCTCAAGCTGTGCCAGGGGAGGTTCAGGTTGGACATCAAGTTAGGAATTCCTTCATGGAAAAGGTTGTTAAACATTGGAATGGACTGCCCAGATAGTGGGAGTCACCATTGCTGGAGGTGTTCAAGAAACTACTGGACATGGAACTTAGGGCCATGGTCTAGTTGTCAAGGCAGTGATCAAAGGTTGGACTTGATCTTGGAGGTCTTTTCTAACCTAAATGATTCTGTGATATTTTCAGTCTCATCTTTGTCAATATAACAATATTAATCATTGTTTTAGTTTTGAAGGTTATTTTTTAAAAGGAATTTTTTAATCTACATGTGGAAAAAAATTCTGCTCTTCTTCATGCATGAACATATTAGAAACCAAAAATCCTAGGAAAAGACAGGCTATCATTTTTAAATACTTAAAAAGCAGCATTATTTAATATTTTGCAAAGAGAACTTGACTTCATTAGTATTTTAACTGTCATGAAGGCATCAGATTCCACACTAATATAAAAGAAAACAGGAAGGAAAAGAAGTTTGTCTGCTATTTCCTTCTCCTTACCTATTTCTGATTAATGTTGGTCATTCTGAAGTAATTAATAATCAGTAACAAACAGCTTCCATCAGTCCCACAAGCATTACTGAATTATCCCAAAGAAATGTTTCAACCACATCCACAAAAACAAATGTAGAAATGCATTGATATATTTACGGCATGTAGAAAAAAATGAATTGCCAGCTACAGTACACTTTGAGAAAAATCAATACAAACCAGTTAGACTGGTGTTCTGGCATGAGATATGGCATAAGTGACTTCTCACTCTGATGTTTGCAGAACAGACTTCCCCTTACTAGAAACTAAACTCAGCAGGGCAAGAAGTTGAAACCTACATGTTTGCACTTCAATGCAACTATTTCAAGCTACTAATAACTGTAAAAGGCAAATATCAGGGGTTCTTATCATTAATTTCAAATAAAAAACTACATTTTATTTAAGATGTTTAGCTACTTAGAACTCCTACAAGTTCAATTTCACAAGGAATTGTAACTCTGCAAGGAATTCCTGACTTTTCCAGCTGAAATTTACCTGAATTAGAATGAATTTCTGCTATTCCACATACACAATTACAGGAAAGACCGCTTCCGAGTTCCAGTTTTCCACCTTTGTAACAGGATTGATATTTTCCTGTCAGGCAGTACTTTGAAGCTAAGCTGTTAAACTAGTAAAGCACTCCAATATTCCTGAATTGCAGGATTAATTACTAAAGGAGAATGCAAAGCACATTCAATTGTTATCTTGGAGTTACAGGATGAACTACACTATCCCCAAAAACTTACAGTGAATTTTGCCCTTTCCTCCATAACCTCATAGCCCAGTATAGTAGGCGTGGACGGTCGATCTTCCCAGCTCCTGGAATCCGTATTCTGCTCTATTTCTTCCACAGGCTGAGTACAATATTCTATGGATGGATCCAGACCTGTAAATTTAGTCCTAACAAGTGGACTGCTACATGCAGATGACGTAGAACCAATCTGGTCAGGCACGCTCATCTTTTTAAAACTACCATTTGTACAGTCCTCCAGCTGTCCTTTTGAGGAGCTCGAACTTGTCGAGATGCTCCCAAAAGAAGAACTTCTTTGGTTTCTGTTTGTAAAGCTGGATGATGAACTTCCAATAGGAATAGGAACAGGAACATATGGTGTTGCCATCCTTCATGAAGAAACCCCTCAGTTTTTGGTCCAGGAATTTAAGCTTCATTCAGTGCATAAGCCATGTTTCCTCTTCTTTTCAGGAACAGTACCTGCAGTGAAGGACAGAAAATATTGCTTTCATTTCTAAGTCAAAGCAACAGTAAGATACTGATTTGGAAAAAATCTGTATGAGCTTTGAGATGGTACATAGCAGTATTGATGGCTCAACATTTTCACAAGGAATTAGGCTTCATATGAAATGCTGCTTTTAGATCGTATTCTACCATTTCACAGAGAACTTTACAGCTCTTTCACAACTATTAAAATTAAAATGACAAAAAGTTAAAGCAAGATTACAAAGAGAAAAATACTTTTGTCCTTTATGATTTAAATACTATTTTGTTTTACCCAAAGCGACAGCAATTTTTGAGCATATAAGAAGCTGATGTAGCTTTAGAGACTTAAATTTTAACAGCACAAGAGGTTTTCTCAGAATTGCTTCTGTAAGACATTTGGAGCAGACTATGTGAGCCAAACACACATGCAACAATATACAAGACATGAATCAAAAGACACGACAGTAAACAAATTAGGTGAAAAACAGATTTGCATCTTACACATTCACTGAAGTATAATGGATCTGTTTTCAATGTTTTTCAAAACAACTCTATTACATATAATGCTGCAGGTATTTGTCACAATGTTAAATGGGCATACTTTCTGTAGTTTGAATTGGAGCAATTAAGTTTTACAAGCATGCACATCAGAAGCAGGGTTTTAACAACAGCCAGTTTTCCATTCCAGCAGATTAAAATGGCAAAACAAGTGTAGGCAAAAAAGAGAAACACATTATTTAATATTTTTTCTTCTACAAAACCATTTCAAACCAATCTTTTGTGTGCATGTGTGTATATTTATAAAAAAAAGCAAAATAAAATTAAGACAGCAGTATCAAACTGCCAAAAAACTTCTCGTTTTAGCAAAGTACCCAAATAAGAACTCTTACAAGATGCAAATTAAATGCCACCTTTTTGGACTAACAGGATTTGAGCCACCACCTGTTTCACCCAGGAGTATACCAATCAACCATGATGCTGCAAGAGGCTGTGGAATGGGAAATGGTCAACCTGATTCACATCATATTATCAATCATCTACTGCAGCAAAAACCAAATGAGTTTGCTAATTGAGAGGGTAAAGTGATGCTTTCATTCTCTTGCTCTAAATAAATCTTAGAGAACGTGAATAAGGAAATAAATTTTAAATGAACCAGCATCAGCAAGACTGAAAAATGCTCTTGAACAAATTCCTTGAGTGAAGGAAAAAACAAAGTCATCTTTTTAGCTGCCTGAGGAAGTCCTCACACACTCTGCTAGAAAGCTCAAGTAACTTCACCAGCAAGAACAATCTCAAACTGGCAGTTATTCCTCGGGAACACCTCTGCTTCACTGTGGATGAGGCTGGACGCTCAGCAGCATCTGAGGGAGCTGAAACGTCACTATCATAAACCCCTGCTGATTGACTTTGCTGGTCAGGTACAGGCTTTGGACTATCGAGCAGCTTCTGTTGCAGCACAGTCCTGCACTCGGCTGTGTGACTAAAGCCACGTGTCAGGCAGCTGACCTGCTTCAGCCTCCCTCAGTATGAGAGAAAACAAGTCACACCTGCCCCTGAGACAAGATGTTCTCCTGGAGCTACACCAAGATCTAAATTCCTTTTTCCACCTGTATCTCAGTAAGGAAATCTATTTTCTGCCCTGAACAGTAAGCTTTGCAATAATTTTTCTTAAATACAAATAGACACATCAAGGTATGAACTATTGTCTGGTAAATTTTCTCTAGCAATATTCTCTAAATAAATAAATAAATATCTAAATGAAACACTGAAAAAGGTAATTCCTTTTTCACTTGCCACTTCAGTGGCTCTTCCATGCTACCTGGAAAAGGAATTGAGAACATGCCTTAAAGAATGTCCGACACAGCTTTGTTACTAGGAGCTGTGATATTAAATCCCTATAAACGGAAGAACCCAACTAAGTCCAGATAGCAACAAATCGAAGGATCTGTAAGTAAAAAGTGATTATCTTGTGCTGCATGACTACAAACCAGGAGAGGAAAGTAAGTCCCCATCTCAGGGAATCTGTTGAAGTTCACTTAGGAGTCCGTGGAATTTTGAAAAGAAAAAAAACACTTGTGCTTTTCAGCACTTTATAAAAAGAAAAACAAACAAACAAACAAAAAAACCCCTTCAAAACTCTACACAGACATTTTCACCAGTTACAATACTTGTGAAAAGCGTGTTTCCTAAAACAAATTATTTCTTTAAAGTGAAATGCCAGTCAAAAACTCACTATCTTGAACTTATTTACTTACTACTTACTAGTCTTCAGTGCACATCCATTTCTGAACAGCTACACATAATAGTGGCATGCAACATAACACAGACCAACCTGAGAATAAAATACTTGGTGTTAAGAAGCCAACACCTACACTGTATGTGCTTCAGCAGCTTTCATGTCAGACCAGCTGTAATTTGGTACCACTGCCTGAATGCTTATTAGCAGCTGGACTGCACTAAGCCTGCTCCCAGGGTATGTTTTCTAATTTAATTTCTTTTGTACTCGGCAAGGCCACTCCAAATCACAAGCCACGGCACGTTACATGGTGATGATGACTCTATTTTCTTCTAAAGGACTTCTCTACTCAATCTGATAGAGTAAACACACCCATAGATAAATAAAAGGGGCTGATAACTACAGTGTCACAGAAAAGTATTCTCTGAGCAACAGAAATGGCAGGTCTAGTGAGCAAAGGGCACACCATATCACTTAATTTGATTTTTTTTGTCAAAAGCAAACAAAAAACCAAACCAAACCAACAAAAAACCCCCTCCACCAGAAAAAGAAACATACAAAAATATTACATTAGAACTTAGAAGACTCAAAAATACATGTATATGCATAAACATGTATATAAATCCATCTTGAACTGCAGAAGTATCCTAATTTCCAAATGCGTAAAATATTTACATGCTATGAATTACAACAGGGTTTAAAATCACATTAATTTGCACTTTATGAAAGCTGAACATTAGAAAAAAATACAATGCTCAAACGAGGGTCACAATCTTAGGAATCGAGCCTTTTCTATGAATACAGTTTACTGCCAATTCATGCAATACAAGGAACAGTAAATAATTTCATTAAAAAAACTCTTTTACACAAACTACATCACTCCTTGCTTACGTTGGTGCAGCAAGGAGGGAAGATTTAGCTGCACACTGCTACTCCCCAAGCTTCACCGTGGACTGGTCTCACATGTCACTGCACAGAACTAGTAGAATCATTGCACCACACCAACTTTCAGAGCAAACAGATCGCTCACAACATCTATGAGACAACCCAGAGACTGCACTTTCTTGTCTGGATATTCACTCTACTTTTTGCAGGAAATCTGCTTCTTGTTCAGAAGCTGTATTTGGTTTAGCTTGATTCCCAACTCTAAGTTAAGAACGAAACAGAAGGAAGAGAACATTTGCTGGAAGCGCTGGACTGCTAGATCTGAAACAGGATAGGACAGTCCCGGCAACCAAGCCGTCACATGCTACAGAGCAGCATGACACCAGCTTATCCCGGTGTTTACAGCAGCCACCTCCCTTTCTGCGGGTGAAGCAAAGAGGCTGTAATAAAACCACTTAAAAAGGGTTCGCCTTCAGCTTGCAGCTATCGCAATTCCAAACCCTCTTAAGCTAATGGTTTGTATGTTCAGTGAGAAACATGTAAGCCACACGATTCAAGGATAATAGACTGGAAACAAAGCAATCCTTACTTAACAGTTGTAATTGGATTTAGAAGACTTTTAGCTACGCAATAGTATTTGTGATCTGGTTACAGACATTAGGCCTCTGTTTGGACAACGCAGACGAGCTGACCTCTGATGTTTAGGGTTTAAGTGCTACTGAGGAATGTCCACTGAAGAACAAGTGGAATATTCAGAGAAACAACTTGCTCGGTTAGGTTTAATGGGGTTTTTTAAATGATAATAATTTTGTGCCGCCTTCAGCCAAGTTACCTGACAGTATTTTTCACCTGGTTATGAACTCGAAACTGGGGGGCTTATTTATCACACCTCGCACATACACACACACGGAGGTGGGCAACTCCTGCTCCAAAGAGTCTGTGACAGAACTAGAAACCACTGAATGTACCCTGCCTCCAAAACCTGCACATGAGGATGCGCCGCCTCCTCCGTGACGGGACGGTTCTGAAACGGGAGAACCGCCCCAGACCCGCCGGTACAGCCCGGGGTAGCCCGGCCCGGCCCCGCCGCGCTCAGGGCCGCGCTCGGGCAGCGCCGCCACCGTTTTACGTAACTCTCGGGGCGGCCGCCGAGCCCGCGGCACCGGGCGGGGCACCGCGAACCCCCCCGTCCCTTCGCATGGGGCTGCGGGGATCGGCGGGTCCCGGCGCGGCGCCGGAGGAACCACCAGTTGGTGCAGTTGGTGAGGCGCCGCTCCTGACCCCCGCCCCGGGCAACGGAGGAGGCTGTCCTCGCCGCCCCGCCCGAGCGCATTCAGACCCGGCGCTGCCACCGCCCGCGGCCGCCACCGCACAGGTGTGCGGGAGCTGCGCGAGCTGCGCCACCGGCGCGGCGCGGAGGCGGCGAGAGCCGTCCTTGCCTGGCGTGGGACGGGCGGCGGCGAGGTTCATCTCAGCTCCCGCGGCCGCCCCCTCCCGGACTCCCGCTCCCGCTCCCGCCCCCGCTCCCCTCATTCCCGGTGCCGGCGCCTCCCGCCCCGCCGCTCCTGGTGCGCGTCCCCGCTCACCTGCTCCCGCCGCCGCGCGCGCGCCCCGATCTGCCGCGCCGCCGTCAGCCCTGCCCCGCCCCCCCCGCGGGGGCGGAGCTGCGGGGCGGGTGGGGCGGGGCCGCACGCGGACTGCAAGAACCGGCGTGTCTGGGCTCGCGGTGCATTGTGGGTGTTGTAGTGTCCCGGCTCGCGGTGTGGCTCCCGCGGGGCGGGGCCGCCCCCTGTGGGCGGCTGCGCCTCCGCGCGGGACAACAAGGAACAGGAGGGAAGGGAGGTCTTCGCTTTCCCGGATCCCGGGTGCGGGAAGGCCCTCGGCCGTTTCCAAATGTGGCTTGTTAGCGTGGTTTCGCGTAGGACCGCTGTAAAGCCCCGCTGTACCGCGGGGTGTGCGCGGGGCAGCGGAACGGGAGTGATAGTGGAGCGCCGTGAAATTACACGGGTGAAAGTGATCAGGGAATTTCCCGAGGGAATAGGGGGCGTTGTGTGTGGGTGTGGAGGGGGGGAGGAAATCACTGTTGTGAAATAGTGTTGGGAATAAAGGAGTATCTCGCTATCTAGTAGCGACCTAGAGTATCTAAACAGGAGTGTGGAACTCTGGAGAAAATGAACAGCACAGTTTGTGTTAAGAGTACATTATGTGTATTTTTTTAATACATCATGTAAAAACACAGTACGTAGAATTTCTAAGAAAGTCTGTCGAGTTTTCATCCGGAGGTTACCACGTACCTGAGATTTTCTGGGGTTGCCCTTTCCCCCTCTTTGGATCTATTTTCTGGCAGGTACATGGGCACTTTAGGATTTCAGGGTGCTGGCAGCTGCTAGAGCAGTAGCTGTGCCTGCTGCCTGACATCTCTCCTGTTTCGTGGCTCTGGAAGATATGACAGCTCTTGTTCCTGCTGTGCAGCTCATCTGCTTGTTTATCGTAAACTCGATACCTTTTGCAGGGCATGGGCACACAAATAGTGTAGCGAAACTGTGTTGTAAGGTGACCTAGTCTGTGACTGCAAACAGGTGTATAGGCCTGTGGCATTGCCCATGTCACTATACTGCCCTGGGGGCTGCCGTTACCCTCAGAGTGAAATTCTTCTACAGGAATTATATTCTTAGAGTACTAGGGAGCTGGTGTGGTGGGGTTTTTTGTTTGGTTGGTTTTGGTTTTTTGTTTGTTTGTTTGTTTTTCTTTTCCCCTGTGCCATATTGTTTCAGCGTATGCTGGGTTGCCTGGAATTAATTTTGAACTTACTGGTTTTTATGGATGCTGGTCTTTTAAGCAATTTCCTCAGATTTGGCAGGGTAGCTGGTATTCATCATGAGTAGAATTAATAGTTTTGAAAAATATTTGTGAATGACTAGTTCAGAAGCTATGCCATGGGGATCTTTTTTGGATCTAATTCCCTCTTTAACTTCTCAATTCTGTTTTAAATATGTAGTACTCAGAAGAGAAAATGCACTGGATTTTAGAAATGCATTTTAGTAATAAATATACTAAATCTGAGGCAATTTAATCAATTGCATTTTGAAAATTGCAGTGCTGAACCAGTTATGCTGAGCATGTAACTATTACGAATTTAAACTTTATATCACTCAAGATGAAAATGTTGTTTAACATATAGCAGCAGAAAAGAAAAAAGAATGTTAGAAACAAGAGAATTCTAATTTCTACTTATTCAGAACACTTCTATAGTAGTTGATCATATCTGACCATTATAATAATTTTGTTGTATATTCTGTGTTTGAATTTTTTTAACTGTAAATAGTTATTTATGAAGTTCCCTACCTACACCAATCTAGTTTTTGAAAACAAATGAGAATTTTTTTTTCCACATCTAGAAGCATTTGATAGTTATGAATGCATGTTTTTCAGTTTGCTAGTCTGCTATCCTAAGAGATGAGACATGATTTTAGTGTACAGGTTAACATAAAATTTTTAACAGCCTGCCCAATGATAGTGAAGTCAGTTTTCTCTGTGCCACTGTCGATAGAACAAGAGTCTTATCCCAAATGCTTTGAAGCAAACAAGATATATTTTGTCACAGTGAACGGGTATAGGAACAAGGTGTGAGGTTGCATTTTTTTGGTCATTTGGAAATTCCAAAGAAGTTCGTAGGATTTTTGGCTGCTGAGAAATGTGGGCTCAGTGCCCTCACAAGGCGCTATCCACCCACAAAATCATCAGGAACGACTGTTGTTTCACTGGCGGGAGAGAAACTATGCAGGGTTAAGATGAATTAAAATTGGGTCTGTGCCCTTCCTGGTTTTCTCTTTGTAGTCGTTCTTCCCTGTGTACTTCGGCTGTAGCAATCCGTAAGGCTTTGGGAAAGAACAGCCTCACTTTGGCTACTTGTGTAAGCAGATAAGTCTGTTACTCCCATCGCAGGCGAGATGAGCCACCCTGTGGCAATACCCTGCAATTCACCTTCATGGAGGCGAAAGTTCAACAAAACTGGTTGCTAAATGTGTAAAACAGCGGAAAATATTTGCTGGATTCTTTCTGCGCATATTGGTACCAGATGTCATCCGTGTTCTGCCTTCATGTGCTAGTTATTTGATTTTCCAGAGGATTAATGTGTATATATTATAGGTCTGATCAAAATCTGTCTGGCCATTGTAATCCTTTGTGCCAAAGACATGATTTTTGCTAATGCTAGCTGGTTTGCTAGCTTAATTTAACCTTGTTTGGGGACAAGGGCTTGCAGAATCAGAAAAGCCTATTAACGTAAAAGAACTTTATGCAACCTCTGTGAACTTCCCAGCACTTTCTCTGCTAGGAAGAAGAATGCAGAAACTGTTAATTGTGTAACACTAATGGTTCAGCAATGCCTCCTTCTGTTTTAAAAAAGTAACTCCCAAAAAATAATCCTACAGGAGAGAACTCTGGTATAATGTTATTGAATTAAATGCAGCTTCTTTTGTGCTAGTTGAGGCATAATGTGATACGTTTTCCAAGTCCCACCTGCCCCCATGATCATGTGAAAAACCGAAGGTAGACTTTCAATCAGGTTATGGGACTTAGGTACTCAAATCTCGTTGCATTTCAATTGGATGCAGGCACTCAAATTCCACTGTATTTTAGAATCCATGCATTCAATCCCATTATTTTCCAATGGGATTTGGGTCTTTCTATCTCAGGATACTGTGAAATCTATGACTTGGAGGAGATTTGTTTTATGACAAAACGGCCAGTTTTCATTCTCGACTGTAGAGTCTTCAGTGTTAGAAGAGATGGAGTTTCTCCTAAAGGCAATTCTTTGTTTAATTCCTTCCGGGTGTAAAAACTACACAACTTTAAAGTACGGCTGGGTACTTTGGAAGTAGACATAAGCATTGGAACTGGGAATTTCCTAAAATGTGGGCATCCAGTTCTCGAGTTTTGATCATGTAATACTTACACCAGTTGCTATGTCATTCTAAAGTGTCCCCACTTTCTAGGTATTGTATCAGTGTGTGTCTATGTTGTGTCTTAATACTTCCTATGTCTGTGTGATAATATTTCTACACATATTCAGGGGGACCTTGGCTTTTGAAAGGCTGAAAAACCATGACCTTTTTAACATATACTGTTTGAGAGCTCCTGTCCTTGGGGGATTGTACTACTCCAGATATCCAGTGGTCAAAAAGGACTGAGGGAGAGGTAAGAGATGGGATTTAAATTCCATTGTGGGCTGTCTCGTTGCAGGTTTGGCCTGACTTTCTGTGATTCACTGCTCTGTGGCTGACTGCATTCAACTTTCCTTAGAAATCATCACAGGGCACCTCACTTGTGCAGTACAGGCTCCTGGAAGCCTGCACTCCTTGTTCCAAGTTTGAAGTACCACACTGAGGACTAGGCTCTCCCAAAGTCCATTTCTTTCTTAGCTCTGGGTCTTCATGTTTTCTAGCTCAGGTTTTGAGTTTCAGACTTGACCCTTGACCAAGACTCTGAGGTGTGGGATACTGATTGCCCCTTTGGCACTCAACTGATTACTCTCAGCCTGCTGACATCTGTATCCTCTGATGCCCTAACCACTCATAATATCATGTTACACCTAAGTTGGTTTCAAGGTGATATCCTGATAATAGTCTTTTTATGAATAAAAGTAGACAAGATAGGCTTTTTGTGGAATACCACATTCACACGTGTAGTTCAGCTGTTGCGTATTATTCTGGCGATTCACTGAGCTATGAATGTTTTCTATTCAGTTATGCCTGTTTTGCTTCTTTCTCAGATGGGAGTCCTCAAGTAGGAAAGCAGAAGCAGCAGCCTCCATGTAAGGAGTTAAGAAATTTCTGCCTTCCAGAGGCAGAATATAACTCTACTTTGAGTTATAAAGAATATTTCTCTCAAGGATTGCTTCTGGATAGAGAACCTTATGGGTGTTATGGCCAGAATTTTCAGGTGAATAAACTGTTAGTGTGGGTTTTAAAATACTATGAGTTGCAACATTTACTTTTGTCCTGTAGTAGGATCCCTAGGAAATTGTGTCCTTCCTTCTTTCTTCCTTTTTATCCTCACCATCAGAATTTTCAGTCTGTGTCTGAGCTGGATATATTTTGCTTGAACTTGATCATAAGAAGCAGTTATGATCACCATCTGCTAACAATCATTAATAAATAATTATTAAATAAGAATTTTTGGAAGTATTCTGATAATTGATTGTGTTGATGCTTGGGCAAAATTGACAACTGAAGACTTGACAGCTGACTACCCTTCTGGAATAAGAACAAAACACTCAATTTTGACAATGGATAGATTTTGTAATATTCCACTGGGGTCCTACTTTCCTTGCCTTCTTTGCCTTGGTCTTTACTGGTAAAATAAACTTTCTGGGACTCCTGGTCCCCTGTGATCAGTGGGAACGTTTGGGGCAAGGCAGATTTACTTTGGTGGAAGAGGATTATGTTGGGGAACATTTAAACAAACTGGACATATGGAAGTCTGGCGACCTGGTGGGATGTGTCTGTGACTGTTGAGGGAGCAGGCTGATGACACTGCAAGGCCACTCTCAATCACCTTTGAAAGGTCATTGGGGGAGGTTCCTGTGGACTGACAGGAAGAAAATGTCAGATCCTATTTCAAGAGGATCA